TTAGACTGCTCTTGCGCGTGAAGTAATTATCGTAGAAGGTTGAATTTTTCAGAGTCTTTAGCATTTTGCTACATTTGCAAAGTCCCACTCTGTGCCACGTGTGGCTTTAGTTTCTTTTTTGGATCATTGTGTGGCTTTCAGCAAAGTCCCAGTTTGTTATCGAAATGTCAATTCTTTTTTTTGGGGGACTTTGCTTTCAGCAAAGTCCCAGTTTGTTATCGAAATGTCAATTCTTTTTTTTTTTTTTTTTTTTTTTTTTTTTTTTTTTTTTTTTTTTCGTTTCGTCCACACCTTCCTGAGCTTAGACTGCAGTAGTTGCAGGTACGTTTCAAATTTCATAGACCTTCTATATAAGAGACGATGTGCATAAATATAAATTGGAACATTTTTGCAAAACCGGAAGTGCCACAGTTCAACATGTGCAAAAAGTCGAAGATCGGCTCTAGAAGGCGTATTTTTGCATCAATTTTCTTCGGGTTTTCATTTTTACAATCTACCTGTAATTTCTGACCTGATAGCACTTGAAAAATTACGAAAATCGAAAATTCGTCGCTCACTTTTTTCGATCAAATTTTTCAATTTTTTTGCAACTTTTTTGCTTTTGCATCGATTGATCTGAAATTTAATATGCAAAGGGACATCACCAAAGCAAATAATATGTAGTTGTCAAATATTTAATTTTACTTCCGGTTTTAAACGGGGAATCAATTGAAAGTACAATCCACTTCCGGTCGAATAACTTCCGGTGTAATTGAAATAGGTCAACGAAATTTATGCTGATCGTAAGTAAATGCTAATACAAAAAAACGAAGAAAATAAAATCCAGACCGGAAGTGATACTTTGGCCGCCATATTGAAAAAACACACTTTTGTAAAACTCAAAATGGGGCCTCAGGGTAAATGTTGATATGCTCAAATTTGATGTGAATGTATTCCGCAATCGATTGCGCAAAAAACATTGGGAGCCGAATTGAATTTCGCTTTTGCTTTTTTGCAACTTCCGGTTGAATTTTTTTAAAGCTTTAAACGATCACACCATGTGACCTTGACCTTTGATGACCTTGACCTTCATAGGGTCAAAGGTCATTGACCTTGGCTATCATTAGATACTTTGACCTTTGACCTCCGACATGTACTTCCGGTTTTATAGCTATCCGTAAAAAGCCAAATTCGCAACTTTGGACTGCTCTAGCACGTGACCTAATTAACCTAGAGGGTTAATATTTTCGGTTTCCTAATGTGCTTTTCATGCACTTAACATAGATATAGAACAATTGCTTTTTTAAAGCAAAATTAAAATTGGTGATTTTTTCAAATTTGAGTTTTGTTTTACCATATTTGTGTCATTTTGATCTTGGTGTATATATATCTTATGACCTATCCTATGTAGAACCTTGATATTTGGAATACAACTAGACACTTTGAATATGAATTCACCTATGACAAAAAAAATTGGGTGGGCGTGGCACATCCGGGTTGAATTACTAATTGTTTACATTTTGGGGCTGGGGCATAACTCGCATAGGATGCGTTTGTTCAAAAAGAGACTTTGCACACAATTACCTCATCCTTTTGGCCAGTATGTATTAACAGCTCAGTTGTTTCAGCTTTATAGTTTCAAAAAAGGAACGGGTTTTAACATTTGGATATTTTCATTTTTCGATTTTGACCTTTGTTGATTTTTGTTGACCTATATCTGTTGACCTCTATTATGTAGGAACTTGACATTTGGAACATAACGTAACATTTTGAATATTGATTAACTTATTCAAAAAAAATTTAGTTGGGCGTGGCACTTCCGTGTTTAATTACTCATTATTGACATTTTTGGCCAGGGGCATAACTCGCAAAGTATACATTTGTTCAAAATGGAACTTTGCATACAATTACCTCATATTGTGAGCCACTTTGTCTTAGAATTTCGGTTGTTTCCGCTTCTTAGTTCAAGAAAAGGAACAGGTTTGGAAATCAAAAT